AAAACCCACAGGCAGAGCTTTCTTCTGTACTTGTTTAGGGTACTGGGACTTCCTTTTTCTGAGTCTCCCCAAATTCTAGCTCAGCAGAAGACAAAGAAGCAATAACGATGGGCAAGCTTCACACATCCTCAGTCACCTCCTTTGGCCAAACACTGATTTCACTGCCCTGTTCTCTGTGGGCTCTATCTTGCCCCACTGTATCAAAGACTGAACTAGCTTCTCCTCTGCTCTCACTGAAGTAGGTGGAAAACTTTCTGTCTGCATTTCTCAACACTAGTGGCCATCTCCATCCTCCTCATTGGATCCCAAAACTGTTTAAGACTATTAAAAATATCTTTTTTTTTCATTGCATTTTTCTTCTCTGTTTGCTTTAGTAGGTAGCTCTAACTGCTACGAATTTAATAAAAGAAAACACACCAATGCTGATTTTATTTTATTTGTATTAGACTTATTTCTTCCATTTCAGATTGATTTCAGTACATGTTCTGTCTGATTACATTTTATTGCCTCTTCTTTCTCCCCAGCAAATACTACCATCTCACCAGAGTAATTAGAACCCTTTATAGTATGAGGCTACAATCTTTCATTACGTTTCAACACATAAAAGTTGGATGCCATTTCCAAACTTCATTACTATACTTGCTATCCTCCAGATTATTAAGGCAAAATTTAGAAAGTATTAACCCCAGACAGCAGTACTTGGTTTATGTTTCTTTTCCACAGGCTACTGGCTTTGTTTGAAATTGTTTTGTTTTCTGTGGTTTATTCACGTCCCTTTTTTATGGATGAAAACCTCACCTGGTGTTACCTTTAAAGTGAGACAGGAATCCAACAGTTACAGACTCCACCTAACAACTACCTTCAGAGTTTTACAGGGAGAGAGAAATCTGGTCTCGCTTATGCTCTGAAACCATCATGAATGCAACAAGTTATATTATTTCTGCTTTTAACATTTTCTCAATGACTGGTAGAGCTACAGCCAAACATCTGTACAATTTGAAAGAACTGTTTCACTAAAATTAGAACAAATTTAAAGGTAAAGAATGATAACAGTTGGCCTTAGTGAGTCACATAAATGTAAAACTTCATCCCCACTCCCCTCATCTCTCTCCCAGATCTTCCCCATGACGGCAAGTACCATGGTTACTTCACCATCGTAATTTTGGAATGCTTATTCAGGGCTTATTCATATGATAGTAAGCAGAGCAAGACAAAACAGCTGGTCTGTAACCAAGGACACAACAGAAGTTATGTCTGGCATTAGTCTGAATGAGAGAAGGTTTTTTTGTTTCGTTTTGTTTTTTAAGAATGAGTCACCATATACTCAAGCATTTGAAACACTTTACCTGAAGCAGGAACATTGCTGCACAACAGCTCACCTGACACGGCTTGCAAGCTCCGGCCCATATCTCAATCCTAAATGCTCTTTCTTAAAAATACCACAGGAAAACACTGATTTGTTATTTTATAACACTTCTATGTGCACTTTCCATCCGAGAATTTCAAACACGTTACAGACATTAACACAATACTATGAGTCTCCAAAATCCCTTGAAAACTATAAAATAAACCAGGCTCATAGAAGTTGCCATATCAGATCTGGCCAGCACCTCACTTAATCCAGCACCCTGTCTCCAACAGACAAGAACAAAACGTTAAATATAGCATGTCAACGTATTAAACCCTACCAGGCTGTCCCCCAAAGACAGCTGAGCACACATGAAAACAGTAACCTTGGAGCCTGATAACTGGAGTTCAGGAAAGACGGGTAATTATACACATAGGGGTAATGGTGGAGTCTGACAGTTTCTAGCACTGGCCCATTGGGTTTGGCCCAAACTGAAAGGGTCTGCATGTTTATGTATGGATTTCAGGAAAAGAAATGTCATGGTTAACTACTTACAAGAGTGCTTAGGGAGAACCAAGTACCAGTATCCATAACGATAACAGCAATTCCATTCATGAACCCATTTGTGCAAAACAATTAACTTTTCACTCGTTCTCCCAAGCTCTTACACCACCGTGCTGCTGTGGAAGTTGTGCAGCTCTGTCCCACCTCAGCAGTTAAAAGACTCCTACATTGCAGTCCATGCGTGCAGCTTTTGGTGGCATAAGGAATTTAAATGCAGACTGGGGACACTCTTCTGCCCTCCCCCCCAGTGGCATTACTTCGGTCCTGGAGGAAACCAAAACCAGAACACTGGCTTCTGGAGGGGGGCAAAAGAGGAAAGTTCATCTGTTTGTTCAGAAACCTGTTCCTATCCAAGCAGTAAAGCAAACCTAATTGATTTTAAGGCAGGCAGGATGTCCCAGAAATTTCATTACTTTGCTGAATTGGCTGCTGTCTTATTAATGTTCACCAGACATACGGAGGGTGGGGTGGAAGAAAGGCTAGCTGGCTGAAAAAACGTCTGCTGGACAAACAAAATGAAGGAATCTTTTACTTAATATATAAAAAAAAATATCCTGTATAGGAATTCTATGCTTGATTTCCCTAAGTTTGTTGCATACTCTTTCTGCCACCTGCTGCCCTGGCATTCCCCAAAATTTATTTCAGGAACAGGGACGATGTCCCCACGCTTTCCCAGAAATGAACACTGCATGACTAAGAAAAAGCGTCTTGCAGCCCAGCGGCCCCTCCTGTCCAGAAGATAGTAAGGTTCTGGAAAACTGCCTGCTTGAATCCTCCTTAACGATTCCATTCTCACTTCACATGCTGAAGAACACCACCCTTCGGCCTCATGGCCCGGTGCCTCTCAGAAGGTGCTTTCTCTCTTGATGGGTGGGATTTCCCAGCAAGGATTAACACGCTGGCTTGACTACCATGGAAGTTGGGTGTCAGGGAAGAACCCTCAGACTGTCACTACTGCCCCAGCTCCTCTAGGGAAAGTTTTTAGGAAGTAGAGCCAAGAAGAGCTTCTTCAGGAGCTCAAGTGACTGAAGAAAGAATGAATTCTAGGTTTTGAAAGAAAAAATCATGTCCGCTGTGCAAGTCAGAACAAACAAAGGTTATTCCTTGAACAGTATTGATTCTCCAGGGTTACAAATCATGAAAAGCAGGGAAAATTTGGTTTTGCACTACTTTTCACCCAAATCTCCAGAACAACTGTATCCTTTCAGCAACTTCCTGGGGCAGAATTTCTCTTTAAAACGACACAGATAATCACAGGCTGGTTTTTTTTTTTTTTTCTTTTTTTTTTGGTAATATAGTAATATGAGAATTTGTAAAAGCGATTACTGACTTGGGAATTTTTGGACCTCCAAGCTTCCTTAAAAAGTGCTGATTTTCAAAGCGCTGATATCCAATACCTCCTGGCAGAACCACCTTATGATGACTGAAATGGCATCTCAAGAACTGAGGCACCTTTATTCACAGTTCATTTCTGAAAGTGGGTATCAAGCAATTATGAAAGAACATATGTGTGTAAAACTACAGTAATTTAATCAATACAGTGCTGCTACAGGTAGGGTAATTCTAGATGCCTTCCTCTTACTGGAAACTGCATGTCTAGCTGAAAGATTTCTACGACTTGAAGAAAAGAGAACTTATCTAAAAAAGGGACACAGATATCAGCAACAGGAAAATGCTTACAGGACATCACGGACATATCCCATTTCATTCATGGACTTCACAGACCTATCACTATTTATATCATGCTTCTATTTCAAATTACTTTGCTTTTATTAATATATACTAACATTTACTTTAAGGTTGTTTTTCCGCACTGTAGATTTAGTTCTTCTGATGAACTGAAACAGAATGAGCCCGTGGCTTCACACAGAAGCAAGGCGGTGCACCCGATAAATGCAGCTAGCAACAGACTAAAACTGCTTTTTTTTAAGTGGATCATAATATATTTTTAATAATGGAATTTTAAAGGCTTGAAAACAACATTTCATACACCTGCAATCTACTAGTTCTCAAACAAAATCAGGAAAAACTACATAACTAATGAGCAGCATAAAACAGGATGGCTTCCTCTCCTCTGGCTCTCAAGGCTGCAACCTCAAAGCAAGAAACCTTGTCTTGTGGCAGTAAAACCAGGAGCACCAATTTGAATGCACGGGGGTAGCAATGCTGTAGGAGTAAGATGGTACAAATTTTGCATAGCAATTTTTCTGACAGCTCTCCACTTTATTGGGCAGAAAATCAATAACATTAAGACTGAGGGTCACAGCCTTTGGAAAGAGTTACAGAAATGCAAAAACAGAACAGACAAAGCCAAAAGACATTATAACCGCAGATATCCCGAGGGACAGATGAAATCATGGGTTATGATGTTTTTTTTTTAAAAAAAAAGTTATTCCCTCGACCAAACCCCACGTCTTGCCTCCTAGTTTTTCACAGTTTTTAAATTAATAGGTGAAGACTGCAGTCAAAAATGCTACTATGTTTCACTCAAAAGCATGAAGTCTCTCAGTAGAAGGGGTAAGCATTCTCCTTTTTGCAGCCATACTTCTGGAAAACTGCTACCATACTTCCTGCTCAAAGTTAAGCTTGCTGGTGCAGGCAGCAAGCTTCCACTTGCAAACAGTAGCTGCAGAAGATAGAGTGCTCCCTGTCCTAACAGTCACAGCCAAAATTTGGCACAAAGAGTGAAAAGGATAACAGCAAAACAATCATGGCAGTGAAAGGACTAGCCTTTTACTCCTGCCCCAAAATCCTTGCGCAGGGAAGCACGTTCAGGATAACCCTTCATCTCCACAACATGAAATGCACTAAAAGCTCGAGGAACTTGTATGCCTGTGCCAACAGGCCAACGCTAGGCCCTGTAACTCAGACAAGCCCATCCTAAAACAGGGAGGCACTGGAGGAATGGCCATCCCTGAAAAGCAAAGGACACTGGCTGCCCCCCACCCCAAATAAGTAGTTGGCTGTAGAGTGCCAGGTTCTCAACCCACACTGCATAACCACAGGGGCTGAAGGACACAGTCAGCCCATCTGACCAAGCACTGCCGGTGTAGCTTTATTTAAATTCTCTTCGTTGTCAAGTTCTCACCTGTCTTGTCGGCAAGTCGTGATATTGTAGTATGAACCTGGTGTTGACGCTGTGACTCCATGTGTTGCCAAGGGCTGCTGTCACACAACCTGATTCCCTCTTCCCACTTCCAGCAGCTCCTGAAGATAAATATGAAAGAAATTGCATCAGGACTGAGCCACAGAAAAGGGTTCAGCATGGAAACTGTAATCAGTCATCTCAGATCATTCCCTAAGCTAGGTAATCATAACTGGTACGTAATAGATGGCACTACCACATGAATTTCCTACCTTTCTGATTTATTTATATTACTGCAGTATGAGTTCTCCATCTCACCCTCTGATACCTAGACAAAGTGCCAAGAATTAGGGATACGTCGCAAAGTATCTTGGAGAGACCGGTACATTTTCTAAAGATCTGGAGGTGCACCATGCATGGGGGACACTTGCCTTTTCCTCTTTAGACATACTATCCCCACACAAACCAGCTTTCTATGGGCACAGAGGAGAAGGAAGCAGGCCAGCAGAGTGGCAGCGTATAATGACATAACAAAAAGGAAAGCTAAAGGAACAGAATGTGGTGCTACAAAACCCCGATCTAAAAATCAGAATGTTGCTTCATGCCAACAGGCATCCCACACATTTTCTAAGATTTGGAAAGAAGGGAGCCCCTTAGCTGTAAATCACATTCTGGTGTCTCTGAAATCACATGAACTTTATATAACCCTGAAGGAAAATGCACTTTGCTGCAATCAGCAATGACAACATAAAGAAGTATTTCCAATAATGCCACATAATCCGGCTTGCTGAACTGCCACTGCACCTGAGTTTTCTCATATCAAAACCCGAGACCCGTACATACACACATACGCATATGCAGGCAGGTAGGTGTCCAAGACCTTCATCTTTTCTTACCACGAGTTCTGCGTAGGATGAACAGATAGATGGGTGACTTGTTTGTACTTCAAACGACACTTCAAGAACAGAACAAGCCAGACAAACCAAGGAAATTCAGAAACAAAATCCCAATTGTTATGTGGGTATAAATGATCACGTGCAAGTTGAAAATTGAACTACTTGAGGCAGACAGTCCATACTGCTAAAAAGCTATGAGTGTTGGCCTGAAGTTGAATGAGAGAAAGTTACATTTAAAGTCAGGGAACTTCCTGTCATCTATCAGGCAACAAACTAAACTGCTTTCCCAGGACAGTCATGAAATCCTTGTCAACTAAGTCAACTAAGTTAGACCAGACACTTACTCAGCTTCAGAGCAGCCTTATGTTTCTGTCAAAATGATCAGTAATGCAACAGTTAATGTTGAAATTTAAATTATAAGTACTGGGTTTTGGAAGCAATACTCTACTGAGATGACAGAGTCCAGATGACACGGTCCAGTGGAGCTTCTGGAAGACTCAGGTTTAAAACTCTTCATTGCTTTTACATTTGCAAGGTTGCGGGTTTTGTTACTTTTTCCCCCCAACTATTCAGAGCAGAAACATAATTTCTTCATTCACTAAAGCTTTTATTTTGGAAAAATACCCAGTAGAGGGTAAGACCAAAAGAATTGGCATGCAGTAATAATCAGTATTTGTATTACTGCCTGTAACTGGCAAGCAATGAGAAGGACACTGCATTAGACTGTGTTAGGCAGCAGAGAGCAGCAGGCTGGAGAGAAGGGCCTGGAATGATTGTAGTGCGCTACAGGACTCAGCTGAAGACCTCAAACCTCTCCCCCAAGCAATACAAGGTTCAATTAACATCAACAGGATTTGGATTAGGTCTTTAAATATTTAAGGTCTGCAAAATAAATGAGTGAAGCACCTAGTTCAAGCCAATAGTTTGACAATAATCTGGACTCTGTACTTGTCTGAATTACTTCCCACATCACGGGAACTCACTGTGACGTGCATGACACTTGCTTCTCCAGAACATTATCTTTTCTAGTCTGAAAACAGTCTACAGTGATGCCATCCAGCAAGGACGGCTGCTTCTCCTTCCTCAAAACAAAGGTAGTCTACATCTTGATAAGCATCAGCTTCCACCTGAATAACTCACCGCAGGAGCACCTAACTGGAAGTTTCAATATCAGGAATGTTATTCTGGTAATTAGTCTAACCCATCTCTATTGGGAAGGTGGATGTGCTGACAATAAAAATTTCTCTTCATCTGTGTTTTGGATTTAATTTGCCAGCTGGAGGAAAGAACAGGTTCAAGTGTTAAAGCAGGGTGCTGCGAGGTCTGTATTCCATTCCCTTAAAATGACTTAAACCAAGTTACTTAATTAAGTTAATTAAGTTCTACAAACTTCTGGTTTTGTGCTAACACCACAAAAGTAAAACGCCATTACAGTACAAACAGGCTAAGGGAGAATAAAAGACAGCAAAGCAGCTTTAAAGTTTTTCAATCCTCTCCTTGACACACGGAATAAGCTGGCAAGGTCCTCCTGTAGTCAACAATGCCCTTCTTTCCCACCTGCTGGAAATGGGTAGGAATCACAAAATCCAAGTGAGACAGCAAAGTGTGAATTCTGGTGGGTGTTCCCCTCACACCTGGTCTAACTGCACCCCTGTATGCAGCTGGAAGCCACCACTCCACACCACCAAGAAGCAATTCACCCACCACTGCTTGGGGACTTCTGACTACAGACAAAAAGCCCACGCGTTCTAGAAGTAGATACTGTTGGCATAAAACAGCTGCAAAATTCACATCCAAACTTCCCTCAAATTATGCGTCTCTGCTATTAGCAATCCTGAGCCAGGCATTTAAGTGGTTAAATGTCTGGAGCCTGCTGATATTACGGAGATATCACTCCATAGCAATTCTTTATTCTGCATTCCTTCCAGGCCTAAAACCTGTCCCAAAGTGAACAGCAGTGCTAGAGGTGTAAGGCTTGTGGCAGAACAAGCAAGCTAATTGCTGTCATTTATTTTATTTTATTATACAGGAGAAAGCCTACTGTACCATGCTGTGTCAGCCCCTGTCTGAAGAGGGCTGTTTGTGTGACCCACTTTCAGGCAAATCCTCTTCTATGAAGTTATTCAAATTTATGACTCTGGTGCAAAGTGGTTAGTAAGCCTGGAGCAAATTTATAGCGAAGACTTTTTTACAGGGTAGAAAGGAATGCCTCACAGGAAAGGTTTCCATTTTATAAGGAATCCTCCTGCAAGCTGATGCATTCGGCAGACAGAGAGGCAAACCAACAAGAAGTGAAGTAAACCGAGGGGGAAGCAGCGCCAGCTTTGCAAGGAAGTTCAAGGGCAGCAACAGCACATGCTTCATTCCTTCTCCTTGCTCTAAATGCAAAAAGATAGTATATGTCTCAGAGGAAGGAAAGAGGATATGTTAAGAAAACAGATTTATATTCAAACATGGCCTTAAAAAAACTTCAGACTTATCTCTTCTGTTGTTTCAGTGACTACTTAGTCATTAATGGACTGGACAAAGGAAGTGGACAAATAATGCTGTTCAAAGAGAGCGCGGTATTTTTCAGCACGCATTGCCTTGTTCTTCCAAACCCTGATATTCTCATACTTCCAGATGGGAGTATCAGACCAACGTTAGCCCAAGAAGAAAGCAGGCTTTGGTCTCTGCTTAGAGGTCCCCAAACTGTGCAACCTGAACCGCCTCAGAGTGGTATGGAGCAACAGCTCCCAGCCGTGACAGGAAGGTGCTTATCCATGCTGCGGGGTGGATGCTTCCACAGAGCTGGCGATGTGCAGTCAGTGGACAGGCAGAGGTTCCTGTCTCTTCGGCCTGCTTAGAGCACAGCTCTCACTCCAGTCACTGCTGGCGTGATGGTTTCTGCTCAGGACACAGGTAATACAAGGGAGCATAGGGACTAGGAGAGGAAAAACCAGGGCTGACAGATGAGAGAAAGGTGGCAGATTTCAGTTTATGGATGCAGTGAGTGGGAAAAGGGAGTGGGTGTCCGGAAGCAGAGAGATGGGATCCTAGCATGGGGAGGTGAAGGTGCATGCTAGAAGGGTGGGAGAAGACCTTTGAACAACCCCCTGGTTTATATATATTCAGATCCATCTCAAGTAAAATGAAGTCATGATTTCAATTCACTCCTCCTTTCCTCACACACAAAGAACTAGCATTAAACTGATCTACAAAGGGCACATCAGCAGCCAGGCCAAGGACTGCCCGAGGTACCTGTTCTACCGCCTTCTGTGAAATTGAGCTCTTCAGGGCACCAGAAGAGACACCGGCAGAGACCGCATCTGTTCTGGATCACAAGCATAAAGGAGGAACTGGCTGCTTCACTCTCGCTGAACAGCTGTCACAAGTGAAAATAAAGCTTCTTGTGGTCTGAGTCAAATGCAAAGTAAATGCCTCTCCACAACCAGGGGAAAAACAAACCAAAGAAGAAAGGGTGATTCTTCAACTGAGGCCCGCAGAGCTGCTTCCAAGCAGAAGACGAGGCTCGCACTGGGCTCCACTGCCTGTCAGGTGGAATTGGGCAACACTTGGCCCTATTTACACCCAAGGGCTAGATTCATTTTGTCTGTTTACCGCCATCAATGCTAAAACAAACTTTCTGTAAGTACCTTCCTTATCACTGAGATGAATGCCACGTATAGGCAGGATGGGGAAAGTGGGTTTATTCCACCTTCCATTTTTCACTGGAGGAAACAGTAGGATTAAAGGTATTCAGCTCAATACTGATTCTGAGATTATTCTATTATGTCCAGCCAAAGAATTACAAGTACATATGTGGTCTCAAAGACCTTCTTGTCCACTACACATAAGGAGGAACCGTTTTAAAGACTAAAACCTCATATAACCAAGTCCCAACTGTTGCAAATATGGTTGAAGGAGATTTAATCATAAAGGAACTTCAGTTTCATTAGTGTCTCATCCTATGAAAATTAGAATAGACCAGTGTCTTGAATCAAATAAAACAGATTCCATTTTTAAATGCAGGGAGTCCTTGCAGGCAGAATGTGATTATACTCCTGATTAAAAAAAATAACCTGTTCCTTGTTGGTATAACTGCACAGAGCAATGAATTCCACCCTTTCCACAATCTCATATAGATTTTTGTCTTTCCAGATGAAAGAGTCATTGCCTGGCAGGTTCATCCCCACCACTGGGCCCCTTTGCAACATCTATCAATTTGATAATTCAAACATCTTTTC